TGCAAGTAAGATGAGACAACGAGAGGGATTAGAAAAATTATTCGTTCTAAAATTCTGAGAAAAAAAAAACTTTGCATTTTTATTTTCATAGCTCTGCCTGGTCACAAAGAGTCCCATCCTCTGACAATAGGCTAAGTAATATAAGGTATCTAAAAGCTTAGACAGATATAAAAAAAAAGTCGTGAAATCATTTCGTTGGGCATATCATAAAATTAGTAAATGTGTATATACAAGATCCGAAAAAAAGCAAGGTGAGTATTTTGTGTGAGCGGAGGTAATACAAATAGAAAACTTCACACCTCTGTGCGTGAAAGTTTATGCAAAATAGTGCACCGTTCTAATAAGGTAGCGAACAGTAAGCGATGATAATAAGTTTTATAATAATACACACACAAAAATTTAAAAATGCGTTGGCAAACAATACGGGTTTTTATGTAAGATGTATTTATTTTTCCCTTAGTTTTATTTTTTATTCCGATTAAGAAAATTGGAGGTATGTGCCGGTCCTCGCATTTATTCAAAAGGAGCTAATTTTATGGGCGTTTTTGCCGCAGCTTTAAAGCAACGTTTTGCCCGAAGTAATTTAGAGCCTAGCTGATAACCCCTAGATAAAGAAGCCTTGTTTTTGAAGTCGACCTCCCAGGAAACTTGTAATTAACATAAGAAGCAAACATGATTTTAATGTAAATGGTGCACCGGCCTGAAAATAACATATTTACTTCAACTCAAAGAACCGCACCAACGGTGCAATGTTACTTAAGTCTGGACAACGGCGGCACTTCAGCGCCAGGGAAATAAAAAAAAAGTAATCACGAATCTTAAAGCTTGAATAGAGAAAAAATACAACAAAAGTATATTCTAGATGCACCCCGTACTAGCAGAAAACAAACAAACACGCACACACGCACGCACACACGCACACACACACACACACGCGCACGCGCGCGCACACACACGCGCCCTTGCGCACACACGCACACGCGAACACACACACACAAAATGCTGGTATTATGCAGATAGCACATAATATTTAGCGCGAAACAGAGGTAATATATCTTAATTAAAAATAATAACTAAGATAATTCTCAAAATTCGAGACATTATCCATACCGAACGCAACATATGCTCTAGACGCTCGACGCTGTTATTTATTGTATAAAGTATAAAAATGATAATGAAGAACAAATATTTTGTAATAGAGCTTGAAAATATTGGTAAAAGTTCCAATTGCTTTATGACTAAAATCGACAGGCTGATCTGAATGGGTTTCTTTAAGGATGTGATTGTGAGGGCAGCAGAATAGCTTTCAACTATCTTCTGACAAAAGCTTAGTATTGAATTTTGTGTGTGTGTTTCTTTCAGACTCCGCATGCGCATTTGTTCCGTCTTGTGTTTGTGCTTCTCGGATCCAACGGTCTCCCTTCGAGTGCTCCGGAAATTTAGGACCCAGAGGGAACATTCCACCGAGCCACCCGCGAACGCGAACGGGCAGGCGATGACTCCTGTGTAAACAGCGCCAGCTGCGCCTCGGAGGGGCGGCTTCTGGTCACTCGACACCGTGTACCACCTTTCCCCTTCTCGCGCGTCTTTCTTCCCGTAACGTTGTGTTCAGAAATAAAAGAGTTCTTCTTGAGAGTTGAAAAGGTTCGCTTCGTGTCTGTCTCTCTGGAACAGCGGCTGGCTGATTCCGAACCACCGTGTAATGAAGTTAGCCGGCATTTAGTAACGTCTCTTTACTACAACATTTTTGGGTGCCGAAACTCGAGAGAAAAGACTGCCAGAGAAGATGGATACAGCGAAAGCAGCTCTCACCGACCGAGCAAAGCGAAAGCGGACAGTGGTGCGAGCAGCGAGAGAGAGAGAGAGAAAACTTCATTGACTGAGGAAATGAGTCAAGTGGAGTAGAGGTCATGGTGGTAGTGGCAACGATGTCGCAGCCATGCGGATCCAACGACTGTCGGTGAGCTCCAAACCAAATTTGACCTTCTCGTACTGAAAGAGGACACTCTAAAAGGACTCGATAGCGAAATTAAGCAAGGGATCGATGACGAGGCCTTGGAAGAGGAGATTATATGCAGCGAAAGCTACAAGAAGAGGATCAGTGTAGCGAAGACTAGACTGAAATGCATGCTCCTAGATCAGGCCCGTCCGAGTGGCAGAGCATTACCAAGTTCACCAACCGACACGGACACCAAACGAGCGTGACAGTCGAACAGACCAACCCAGCGGTACAGCTCACCAAATTGGAGATATCAAAATTTTGAGTTGAACTCCGGGAATGGCAGGGTTTTTGGAGTCAGTTCAATTCAACTATCAACGCAAACTTGACACTGTCGGAGGTCGACAAATTCAAGTACCTGAACAGCTACCTCACGGGAAAGGCAGCCGTGACGGTGGCACGGCTTGACCTGACAGCGGAAAACTACAAAGTAGCCATCGAGCTTCTCACCCCTAGATGCGGACAAAGGGATCTTATGATTGAAAATAACATGGCGAGGTTGATGGCTGTCCGACCTATTTATGACTCTAGAAACGTGAGCGGACTCACAGCATTATTTGACAAAATTGAAACTGGAGTCCGAAGCCTCGAGGCCCTCGGCATCAACGACAGCATGTATGAAGTGCTGCTCCTTACTGTGCTGCGTAAAGCCATACCAGCCGACATGGAACTTGAGTACAGCCGGAAGATAACCGCGCAATCACCAAACCAAAAAAACGGTCTGCGGGATTGCTTGGATTTCTTAAAATGCGAGGTAGAAAGCCGCGAAAGAATGCGACCACTAGAGGCAAAGAAAGACCGGCAAACCAGCGAGCCTGCACATGACGGAAAGTGAGACTACAGGGCAAGACCTATCTCATCCACAGCAGTCTTGAATGCCGTGACCGGTGGGGCGACTGAAGATGCGTGTTTTGCGCCTCTGGTGGTCACGACTCGGACGGGTGCACTGTGCAGATGTCCGTCTCAGACAGAAGGGAAATTCTGAAGTGCGAAAACAGATGCTTCCGCTGCGCGAAATATGGCCACAGATCTCGTGACTGCAGAACATCAAAATGGCTAAAATGTGGACGATGCGCGGGGAGACACCTGACGACCATGTGTGACACTGACCTGGTGAACACCCGCGGTTCCACGAAAGAGAAGGACTCGGCAGTGACGGCTGTACAAGAGATCCACGGACAACAGCTGTTGCAGTCTTTTCTCGGAGTGAGAAACCGCCATTTTGGAGGAGAGAAGACGCAGGTGCTCCTTCAGACCGCACAGGCACTCTCGTTAGGCTCCTCCTCGACGGCAGCAGCCAGCGTACGTTCATCCAACGTGGCGTCTCCGAGAAGTTGCAGTTGAAGGTGCTGGGAGAGGAGGAGCTCCGGCTCTTCGCGTTCGGTGACAGCACAGCAGCAAAGCACACGAGGTGTCGACGGCAGGAGCTTTGGCTGAGAAGCCAGTACAACAGAGAGGAAGTCCGCGTGGAGGCTCTTGAAGTTCCCTGCATCTGCGCGAATGTCCTGAAAGCTCCATCGGAATCTGCAGTTGCCCAGATGAGAAAGGAAGGTATGAACATCGCCGACGCTTCGGGGGGTGCCCAAGCTGAGGATGGAATTAGCCTCCTAATTGGAGCCGGCTACTACTGGGCTATCGTCACGGGATCCGTTAAGTGTCTGAGCCCTACTTTGATGGCAGTAGACACGACCTTCGGATGGACCCTGCAAGGCCAGGTGGGAACCACCAGATCAAAGGCGATACGTTCCTCAGCTACAAACGGGATGAGGGTGATCGTGACAGAGGAGACAGACAAAGAAATATCCGCACAACTCCGGTCGTTCTGGGAACTCGAGCACCTTGGCATCAAAGACATCCAAGCCACGACATGCCACCAAGACGCCGTACTTCAGCACCACAAAGAAACCACCAAGTTCGAAGACGGTCGCTACCCAGTGGCGCTTCCATGGAAGCCAGTGGCCGAGAAGCTAACAGACAACTTAGAATCGGCGACGAGGCGTCTCCGATCGGAGACCAACCCTCTCCAAAAGAACGAGCAGTTGATAAAAGAATAAAATGCCTGCATTCGAGACTACGTAGCGAAGGGGTACGCCGAACCAGTCGAAGAAAGCAACCCACTAAAGGGCCCGGTTTACTACATGCCCTACCAGGCAGTCGTACGGCACGAAAGTCAGACAACTAAGATGAGAGTGGTCTTCGACACATTGTTTAGCCTGGCAGGTCGGCTCTCGCTAGACGACGTTCTAGAGAGCGGACCCTATTTGAACCCAGAATTGATCAACCTGCTGCTTAGGTTCCGTACTCACAACATCGCCGCAGTCGCCGACATTGAAAAGGAATTTCTTCAGGTGTCACTAACGAAAGAGGACCGAGATGCCGTGGGCTTTCTCTGGTATGAGGATATTCCAAAGAACGGAGAAGAACGTCCGTCAATCGTAGCATGCAGGATGACGCGCATAGCATTCGGCGTCACGTCCAGCCCATTTTTGTTGGCCGCGACATTGCAACACCACCCCGAGAGCGTACAGGAGCAGTACCCGACGACGGCGAAGAACCTGAGAAACGACCTGTACGTGGATGATCTGGTCACCGGGGCGGATAGCCTGCTAGAAGTAAGAGTGTTCTGCGAAGAAGCGACTGAACTGCTAGATTAGGCGGGACTGAAGCTCCACAAGTGAATGTCAAGCAACCTCGAGCTGGCAGAGACGCTGCGGGGTAACGAGACCAAACGAATCTACGCCGATCTTGGGCGCACAACTGGAAAGGTCCTAGGAGTCGGTTGGAATCTGGAAACAGACAGCTTCGAGTACCAGACAGACTCTCTGATTGATTTTATCTTCTCAAGAACTGACAGCAAGAGGTTCGTGCTTCAGGTGTCGGCAAGGATCTTTGACCCCTTTGGATTTCTTGCGCCCATCACAAGTGTAAAGATCAAGTTTCAAAGGCTGTGGGAGCTCGGGGACGACTGGGACGACCCATTACCTGAGGCCCTGAGAGCCGAATGGGACAACTAGTGCAGAGTGCTTCCCCCATTCTGAAAAGTGTCCGTCCCAAGGACGATCATAGAAAACTTCAGAAGCAGCAGACCAAGACGACGCTGCATGTCTTCTGCGATGCAATCCCCAAGGCATACGGCGCCGTGGCGTACGTCACCACAAAGACTGCAACACGAGAGGTGCAAGTGGCTTTGATTATGGTCAAGTCAAGGGTGGCACGCCTTAAGCGCCTCTTCCTGCCGAGACTGGAGCTGATGGGAGCCCTGATTGGTGCGCGGTTGAAACGCTACCTCCCCAAGACGTTGCAACTGGAAGCCATACCCGCCTTCCTCTGGACGGACTCAACGGTGGCGCTGCATTGGATCAAGGGGTCGGCAGATAAATGGAAGCCGTTTGTAGCATATCGAGTGGAGAAGGTGCAGCGGCTGACCGATCCACAGGAATGAAATCACTGCCCTGGGGCCGAGAATTCAGCGAATATTCTAACCCGAGGCGTTCTACCCTCAAAACTGGTAGAGAGCGCACTCTGGTGGGACGGACTCAAGTGGCTGCAAAATCCGGAGTCGGAGTGGCCAACCATGAACGAGCAAATGCCCAGGGCCACTGAATATCAAGAGGAGAAAAAACGAATGGCAATAATGATGGTTGCAGCACCTCCCACGACACCTCTCCTGCAACTGGAAGAACACAGCCAGCTAAACAAAGTGCTACGACTGACTGCTTGGGTCCGGCGCTTTGTGCACAACTGCAAAAACAGGGAGGCAAGAAGGGTAGGCCAGTTAACAGCCGAAGAGTTGACATGCGCTGAACGATACTGGTTGGCCTGCACACAGAGAGAGGCGTATGGAGACGGTATCACAGCATTGCGCGCCGGAAAAGAACTGAAAGAAAACTGCGCTGTTTCACGCTTCGGGCCGTACCTTGATGACGACGGTCTGCTTAGGGTGAGACGGAGACTGCAATTCAGTGACAACAATGACGAGACGAAGCATCCCATTTTTTTTCCTTCCGACCATGCGTTCACCGCCCTCGTTATATCAAGGGAGCACATTCGACTGTTGTGCGCAGGAGTCTGAGACACGCTGGCGCAGCTGAGAGGTGTACTAGATTGTTAATGGGCGGCAGGCCGTGGAGAAAACGGTTCACCGGTGCTTGGTTTGCCGCAAACAAAGTTGCAAGCCCGCATCGGAACCTCTGGCTCCTCTGCCGGCAGGCAGGGTACGAAGGAGTGAGCCCTTCGCTATAACAGGTGTGGACTTCGCGGGACCCCTGTTCAGCAGAGAGGTCAACGGCTCCAAAAAGACTTACGTAGCCCTGTTCACCTGCGCCGTCACCCGTGCTGTTCATCTTGAATTGGTGAGCGACCTCTACGCTGCTGCGTTCCTGTTAGCACTTAAGCGGTTCGTTACACGCAGAGGAATCAGCGCTGTGGTGTACTCCAATAATGTGCTCACATTCAAGCGAGCGGAGAAGGATCTCAAGGAGATGTTCCGCACTATAAAATCACCCGAGGTGCAGTCATATTTCGCGAACAACGGCATCCGTTGGGAGTACATCGTCGAAAGAGCAGCGTGGTGGGGAGGATTTTGTGAGCATCTCGTACGATCAGTGAAGGTGTGCTTGCGCAAAAAGCTGAGTCGCAGCAGTTTTACCTTCGAGGAACTCTCCACCGTCCTCGCCGAGATAGAGGCCGTGCTCAACTCGCGGCCATTGACTTTCCTGTACCCCGAGGCAAGTGAGCCAGAGCCTCTATCACCTGCTCACTTCCTCGTGGGGCGAAAGCTCACGTGTCTTCCGCCGCCTCGCCTATCAGCAAAGGCCCCTACAGGTGACGCGAGTCGGACCAGGCTGGTGCGGCGTTGGAGGTACCGCAGCGCCATTGTGGAGGAGTTCTGGCAAAGGTGGCGCCGTGGATATTTGTTGCAGCTGAGATCGGCACACCTCGTTAGACCCACGCCCTCAAGCGGCGTCAACGTGGGTGACACGTACATGCTGAGCGAGGACAGTCTCCCGCGACACACGTGGAGAACCTGCCGTGTTAAAGAGACATTCAGTGGGAGAGATGGCAGGGTGCGGTCCTGCAGACTTGTGCTACCCGGGGGAGGCAAACTCAGGTGACCGATTTAGTTGTTATACCCTCTAGAAGTTGGTAACGATGAGCTACCGCAATAGCTGATCCGAAGGAGAATGTTGTATATTGTGTGTGTGTTGCTTTCAGAGTCTGCATGCGCATTCGTTCCGTCTTGTGCTTGTATTTCTCGGAACCAACGGCCTCCCCTCGAGTGCTCCGGAAATTTATGACCCTGAAAGAACATTCCACCGAACCCGAGCCCCACCCCCCCCCCCCCCCCGCCCCCGCCCCCGCCCCCGCCCCCCCCCCCCCCCCCCCCCCCCCCCCCCGCGAACGCGAACGGGCAGGCGAGGACCCCTGTGTAAACAGCGCCAGCTGCGCCTCGGAGGGGCGGCTTCTGGTCACTCGACACCGTGTACCCTCTTCCCCCTTCTCGCGCGTCTTTCTTCCCGTAACTTTGTGTTCAGAAATAAAACAGTTCTTCTTGAGTTGAAAAGGTTGCTTCGTGTGTGCCTCTCTGGAACAGCGGCTGGCTGATTCCGAACCACCGTGTAATGAAGTTAGCCGGCATTTAGTAACATCTCTTTACTACAACACTTAGTAGTTGTGAGAACGCTAGGGGAAAACCTACATCCCGATGAAACGTAATACCTTATCTTCATAACCTGTCCCATAAGATAAAGAACGTTGCGGATATATATATATAAAGTTTCTGTGGTCTTCACGGCCACTTCCAAATTGTCCTGATTGGATGCTGCGATTAAGAAAGGAAGTAATCGTGTAGTGTATGAAATCAAACGCCCTTTCAAATGCGTCGCAGGCGCAGCCGGAGTTGCGTATAAAAGCACATTTTCTTGACGAAGGGTGTGCATAGGAGAGACAGGTTGCTGTATAAATGTTCCAGCTAGCAAACACTCTCTGCCTTTGAGATCTATGCCATCCGGTCACACGGCGGTTCGTACCATCATATGTCTGTGTAAACCTGTGTTTAAACCAGAGTGTCGAACCGATATTTTTATCGGTTCGGTTCGGGTTTGAGTTCACGGCTTTTGGTTCAGTTCCGGTTCAGTTCCGGGGCGCAAAAAATAACGGTTCAAACCGGTTCGAACCGGTTCGAACCGGTTTGAACCGCTAAATTGAGAATATATTTTCCGCGTTGTTCTGTCAATAGGCACTATTTAGGCCGTGAAACTAACTACTGTAAACGATCTGATTTTTGCGAGGACCTATTTTTTAGAATTTCACGAATCGCCTACAATTCGCGAAAAATGGGTCCCGCGAACAATTTCGCTAAAATGTAACACATTGGAAAATTTATATTGAGATTCCACCGCGTCGAGAAAATTACAACCCGCGAATTATTCCAAAACTTCAGCTTTGACCTAAATCGCGAAATATTGAGCCCACGAAAAATAAGTCATTTACAGTATATAGTTTTCTTTTTTTTTTTATCGTTTGTTCAATCCAGTTTTATTTTCAGGTACCAAAATTATAAAATTCTGTTATTTATTTCTACACAACAAGAAAAGAAAATCTACATTAACATTCAAAACGTCGTGTTTATACGACTCAACATCCCTTCGTTTACCAGAGTCACATACATCGTACCTGAATCGAAATGTTTTCGCGAAGTGTAGTAGGTTGCCTAAAAAAACCGTGATTGGTACAACTTTGTATCGCAGTATTAGAAGTTGAATCGTTGTTTTGCCCTTAAACTAAGGAATTAATTACAGTGAAGAAAATCATGAAATGGGCACCTCGTCGCCATATATATTATGATATCTGTTTTACGGAATACGTTGCACAATATATATATAATGACGAGACGACTGAGCTTAAGGCAATATAATTTTCGAAATGTCACGAAAGTCACGAGACAAGCCCTTCCAGTCTATATTTTATAGATACACTAAGCGACGATCACAATGCTTGTTTTTCTAACCAGCATTGTTTGCTCTCAGCACCATGATGCGGGCGGCGAATCATGCAAAAAGGAGTAGCTGAAATTGTTCACTCTAATCTATGAGCACCTTCGTACTGAGATCGAATCTCACCTAAAACAGTGCTTAAACATGTGAACATTTTCTTATATTGGAAAAACTGGCATAGCCGGTTGAGGTTTGTTCTTGACAAGATGCCGGTCAATTTAATTTGGAAGTAAGCATCACTATCGCTAATTGATAATTTTTGTTAAATAGAACAAAGTGGTATTTCATGCTCTACTCAATTTGAAAGCTACTTAATTGGACACTTTCTTACAATTTACGTGTGTAATCGTCATAGTTCCACCATTCGTTTCAGTGTATTTTGTTTTGGTTCGACCCACAGACACGTAAAAGTTATGTTTAACAGATAAAAGACGCGATAATAAACTTCTACATATTTGAGAAGTTATATATGCGTGAGGAACACATAGTTATTTAAATTAGCTTAAAAATAAAAAAAAATTATCTAAAGCTTTCCCAAATCACCTATAACGTGTCTATAGAGGATTAAAGCGCCGAAAAAGATTTGCAGAACATCTTTCAGATAATTTGAAGGTGCGTTTACTTATATGTGTATCTTTGAGCTGAGGATCTTTTATTTATGCTGCCAAATCTTCAGACAGGAATTAAGTATATTTTTATTATCATCGATAAATTTGACTTTATGAAGTTCACATAACCGCCCGAGACCGACACGGAAGGACGATACTCGAAAATACGCCAGCTGCATGTTGAGTCTTCGGAAACGTGCTTTTGTTCGCTGTTTTGCAGTGTAAAATACTGGGTTGCAGGGATGCCAAAAAGCACTGTGGTCACATGATATATCGGAAGGCAAATACGCGAAATGTGCAGAAATAAGGAGATAACACGTTATTTTTCTAAATAATCTCTTTCACAATGCTTTACTGCAAAAAGAGATGCATAGAAATGCATCTCTTTTTGCAGTATTCCTAATTAAACATAAATTGCGCGAACGGCGAACGAAGATTCTTAGAATCCTAATATAAATCACGTTTGGGCATTAGCTTGCCTCAGCTCGAAACGTCGCGAGATACTGCCTCGGGACGCTAATGTTATCTTATGTTTTACGTTCACTTGTTTTGGGACCATACTTCACGACTCTGTTCTTTATCAGTCATGTGCTCCAACATTTCATAAGGCTGCCGTATATCATCGCGAGACTGCTATAAATACTACACAACTTTACACCTTGGACGTCTAGTGCTAGTGTTGCGAACGTCGCACTTCACCAGAAAGCTGAAGTATTTAACATGGTTTGCGCGTGACGTAATCGCACTATATACTGGTTGTCATTGCGAGTTGTTGTTGCTGAAAAAATCAAATCCGGTGGGGCAAAATGCACGCTGCAAAAGGTTCGCACTCTGTGCAA